TCAAACAAAGTAGTTTCGCTTTCACAACGAAACACAGCGTCACACACGGCGGCCTAGAGTGAGCGGCGGTGGCTTAGAGTGAGCAGAGGCGGCGGGCTTGAGAACGACGAAGGAGGCTTGCGGCAACCACATGTGACGACCCCGGGCTTCCAAAGAGAAGGAAAAATTGAAATCGCATCATATGACCCCTTTAAACCGATTATGCTTAATAAGCCACAGCGCACGTGGTCATCTAAATGGTGACCCTTTTCTTGACTGATTTTGACATGATTTACATACAAACGTCGGCTGTCAGATGTTCTTCCTACAAAACGATTGCATAAACATTTCTCTTGTGTTTCATAGAAGAAATATAATAATAATAATGCGTTGTGATGGCATGGGAGAGTAAATTATGCCGAAAAACATAACAAATCAGCTAGTTTAGGCTGGTTTAAGATATATTATTTTCCAGTTTTGGCTGAACTATTCCTTAAACGTTCATAAAGTTTAATACGAACCCCCCATAAACACTGGCGACCGCTGATGTTTGATCTGCCGATGTTGTTGTAGTTGCTAGGGTGATGAGCCAATGCTTTGTTTCTGTGCCGCCAGGCTCTGTAGAGACAGCGCGCGACCCCACGGCAGCACCGGTGACACCGACCATGACCTCGGCAGCCTCAAGCAAGCCGCCTCCAGCAGCTGTGACCGGAAGTGTGGCACAAAACGGCGAAAACAAGCCACCTCAAGCCATAGTGAAGCCACATGTCCTCACGCACGTCATCGAGGGTTTTGTCATTCAGGAGGGAGCTGAGCCATTCCCTGTGAGTTACAATAATAACACTAATACTAATACAACAAGTACTGCTACTACTAATTTACGAATAGGTGACAATTTTAGTAAATTTAAGATAATTATTATTATTAATTTAGTTAATAATAATTGTTTAATTATAAAATAAATATAATAATAATATAATTGTATTGTTGTTCAAAAATTATTTTAGTTATTAGTATTTATTAGTATTATTTTTTATTATTCATAATTATTTTAATACAACACCAAAACCACCACCACCAACAGTAATAATAATACATTTATTTTTATTATTCGTTCAGTTATTTATAAAAAATGAATTATAAATAATACAAATTTAAACTGGAAATTCATTCAATAATAATAATAATAATTGGTATTGTTAATAATAATTGTTCTAAAATTATTATTCATAATAATTTTAATACAACAACAACAACAATAATACATTTATTATTATTATTCTTTCAGTTAATTATAAAAATTAATACAAATTGATACTGAAAATGCATTCAATAATTGTTATTGTTAATAATTGTTGTAGTTCTACAATTATTTTTATTTACAATAATTCAATGCAAAAGTCATCATCATCATCATTGTATTATTATTATTATTCATTCATTTATTTATTTATTAATTAATGACATTTATTATATTATAATGACATAATATTTATTTATTTTGTTAGTGAATTGACATAATTTACAACACTGAACATCAGACTAAACTGTGGAAAAAATATTGTCTGTTGATCTGCTTATTCCAACTTAACACAAGTGTCCACAGTGTTCCAGTGATGATCAGCCTGACATCATTATGTTTGTATACTGTATTGTCAGGTGGAGAGACCGCTGGTGCAAGCAGACAGCCCCAAGAAACCAGACACGCAGCTTCGCTCAGATCCAGAGAAAATGGCCAGCAGTAATTCCCTCAGTGCCACAAACTCAGACATGGAGGAGGCTGGACAACAAGGTAGACATTTAATTTAGTAGGTTCAAACAAATACTGCACCCCATGGCTGCTTTTCTAAGATGCATGACCTTTTTAAGTGTCAGGGTAAAGTTTTGAAAGATTGGAAACCTGCATTGTTATGAACAAAGGAGCATTAGTGATGAGGTTATAAGATATGGAATTTCCTGTGTGTGTAATCAAGGTGCAGCAAAACATATGCTTTTATAATTTATATATCATATATTATATTTTATAATTTTTCATCAGACACGAGGACTCAGGAGGAATCGGAGGAACCCAAGCTCACATGTGAGCTCTGTGGATGGGTCGATTTTGCCTACAAGTTCAAACGTTCAAAACGCTTCTGTTCCATGGTCTGTGCTAAAAGGTTAGAGATTCAAAAGCATTTTATAAATGAAAATATATAGACCAATTTCGGTGGTGTTTGTAAACAGTGATGACGTTTTTGGTGGGCGGAGCCTATCTGGTGGCAGAAAATGACAGTTTTAAAGTAGCGGTCTATGGAAGCCATGGAATAAAAGAATAAAAAAGGTCATTGTGATTTTGTATTTCAAAATTCTGACTTTTTTCTTGCAATTCTGAGATGATATTTCACAATTCTGATAAGAAAAATCGACTCGTCATTCTCTCTTTTCCCCTCGGCTCAGAATCTTATATATCAGAGTTTATATCTGAATTTTTTTCCCCTCAGAATTGACAGACTCGCAATTGTTGAGTTAAATTGAGTTATAAAGTCCGAACTAGGAGATATAAACTTGGATTTGTGAGAAAAAAGTCAGAATTGTGAGATAAAATAAGTAAATGTTATAGGTTTAAATAGTTGGCTATATCATGCTGTAACTGTAGGGCTAATAAAATATGTCCGCTATGAACTGCATATGTGAAGATTATGTAGACCTATTGTTTAAATCAAATTTATGCTTTAAAAGTAGGGTAATCATAGCAGGTTTCATCCATAGTCCGTCCGTTTAAACGTCTGCGTTTAGCGTCAAATGGCGTCTTTGACGACAGTATCCTATAAAAATAATTTGCATTCTGATTCTGACATCCAAAGGCACAACAATACATTTTTTTTGTCTTATTCCATGGATTTTACCCATTTCCCTCCACTTGTTCCCAGTGTTTTTCTGCCACCACAATGCGCGCGCAGCTGCATGTGATGTACATCTACTCCAAATTGGTCTATATAGAAATGCATGTTTAAACAAAGCTGCATGACACTTCAGGGTAATTTGGATTAATTTAAGAAGTTATGATACTCAATGACTGAAATGATAGATATACTCATTCATTCAGCTGCCACCAAAATGATAACTAATAATATCTTTTTGTGATATTGCAATATTTCTGTCTGTATGGTAATGTATAACACTTTTGAACAGATACAGTGTAAGTTGCACGAAGCGGGTTGGTCTGTTCCACCCCAACAGAACTAAAACAACCAATCAGATCAATCAGTGGAGAAGGAGGAGGTCTCATAGTCCCAGAGGCAGGGAGGCCAAAAAGCAGGTGAATAGCTACTTCAGTATTATGTGGTAGTGTTGCATGCTACAATGTTTTTGTATAAATATATAAAGTAAATCATGCTCATATTGTCTCTTGTTTTATCCCCCCCAGCGGCTCTCTGTATCTCAGCAATCTCAGGGAGAATCTATATCCTCACCTCTCCAATCTCAGCCTAGTCAAGGAGAGTCCAGTCCCTGTTCGGATATCTCCAGTTATGAGGATGCAACATCCCCCCTCTCTGCAGCCAGTTCTGGCCCAATTGTTTCTCAAGGTGGGGTCACTGTTAACGATCCCGAAGAGCTTCCTCTCCTCAGTCAGCACTTCCTGCCATGTGACCCCACCAAATGGAATGTGCAAGAGGTTTTTGAGTTCATTCGCTCTTTGCCAGGTAAGTTGCTTGTATCATTTGGGGTATATATATATATATTTTGTACTATATTCCAAGTGCTCTAAAGACATTACTGTTTAAAAGTTTGGGTTCAGTACAAGTTTTCTTTAAGAAATTAATACTTTTATTCAGCAAGGATGCATTATATTTATTAAAAGTGACCGTAAAGAATTTTCCATTGTTTTACATTGTAAAAAAAAAAACAAAAAAAACATCAGTTTCAAATAAATGTTGTTCTTTTGACCTTTCTATTCATCGAAGAATCCTGAAAAAAATTTATCATGTTTTTCACAAAAATGTTAAGCAGCACAACTGTTTTCAACAGTGATAGTAACAGGAAATGTTTCTTGAGCAGCAAATCAGCATATTAGAATGATTTCTAAAGGATCATGTGACACTGAATACCGGAGCAATGATGCATCACAGGAATAAATTATATTTTAAAATATCTTAAAACAGAAAACTGTTATTTTAAACTGTAATAACATTTCTCAATATTGCTGTTTTTACTGAATTTTTAATCAAATAAATGCAGCCTTGGTGAGCAAAAGAGACTCATTACAAAAACATCTTACCAATCCCTTTAGAACAGTAGTGTATATATATATATATATATATATATATATATATACACAAGCACTTGATATGATATTCTGTCATTAAATATTACAATATAATATATTATAATGTGGGGGGAAAAATGGAAAGTTGTGATGAAAATCAGATTTTTTCAACAATAAATTACTGTGAATTTATTTACAATTATGCTGTTTAATGGGGCAAATTTTTGTGACTTCACAATTAGGTTGCCAGGAGATTGCAGATGAGTTCCGTGTTCAGGAGATTGATGGACAGGCCATGCTGCTACTGAAGGAAGATCATCTAATGAGTGCCATGAATATTAAATTAGGACCCGCCCTCAAGATCTTCGCTCGCATAAACATGCTGAAAGATTCCAAACCTTGAAAAGGCTGTGTGTGTCTGTCTGTCTGTCTGTCTGTCTGTCTGTCTGTCTGTCTGTCTGTCTGTCTGTCTGTCTGTCTGTCTGTCTGTCTGTCTGTCTGTCTGTCTGTCTGTCTGTCTGAACATTTCATACATATTGGGGCTAAAGCCTAAAACTGCACCTCCTCAAGAAAAGACTTGAAATAAATTCAGCTGAAACAGAAAATGACCCGACTACCTATGAAAAATCGTACAAATAGTGACTTTATACCAAATGGAAGGCATTATGAAACAGTGATTTGGAATTCTGACTGGGTTTCACAGATCACTGGACTTAACTAGTAGTATCGGTGCTTAGAAGAAATCTTTGGATAATATACGTGTAACCGTGCAGTCCAACCTGAACTAAAATTATCATGTGGTTTCACAATCCCACATCTCGGCCCAGATGTCTCTGGATTGTACATTTGTTGTTTTCAGGTATGATTTTGTCTTATTGTACATGCCAGATGCTTTTGTACAGTCAAATATGTTTAAGTAAATTATTCTTACCTTTGTGAGTATTTGTAACATAGTTGAATCACAACAAACTGGTGCTATTTCACTCGCATTTACTTTAAGACTTGAATAACAGAAGCACAGTAACAGAATATTCAACTTTAAACCTGAAAACCAACCTGTAGAAAGGGACCCAGTCTGAAAAATTCCTGTCAACAGCACCTTATTCAATGTGTGTCCGTACAGACACTGGTTTTGAGATGCACATTCAATTGTATTTGTCTTGGATATTGGGAATGACACTATGTTTGGTTTTAATTGTGCCCAGATTTGTCATTGTATGTTGCTAGAAAGGATTGTGATGATGAATTGTGTTTTTTGTACAATGCTTTGTGAAATGCCTGTATTTATCAGATGAAATTTGTAATATAACATTTTTAATGAAGGATTTTCATGTCAACTTGTTTAATTTTTTTGACCTTATATCACATTTTGCCCGCACAGCTTCATTTATTATTGTATTTATTCCACACTTAATTTTTTATTGCATTGTTTTAGATAATATACCCAACAAAGCCTGAAAACGAATATATTGTTTTGCACTTTAAAACATAACAAACTTATTTTTGCGAAATATTCTGCTCTATTTTTCTTTAAATAAAATGCCACCCAGTTTGACATTTATCTCTTTTAAACTAGCACGAGTGTCCATATATTTTTGGGGCCGCTCTTATTGTTTACTACAATAAAACACCACTAGGTGGCACACGTGCATTTCTAACCCAAACTAACATATTTTCAACATTTAGGATGACTTTTGGAGTGATTATGTATCTAACTCGACCCTGATACTATAAAAACATTATTTTTCACAGAAACACGTCCAAATATGTCGTGATTAAGTCGTGTTGGGAGTTCAAGATTGAAGAGTGCTTTCTAGTCTCACCGCTGCACAAAGAAAACATCCCAATTTATAAACTTTTCCTGCTACGCCCCGCCTCCTATCTCTGCGTCTCGCTTCTAATTGGTCTATTGTGCTGAAACACTTCCATTCTATTGGCTGAGTAAGATGTCCGTTCATGTTCCTTCACAGCAGATGAACTTCGGTGAAGCCGATTTTCAACAACAGTGCTGCTCGATCGATGAGCGATATATTGGAAACTGATCATCAAACTTGGCATGGCACCCACAACGGTGAGAATGTTCTCTTTATAACTTATCTCTTAATACTTAAATAGAAAAAGAAAGTAGAATAAAATGAGCGCGAGAGGCAGAGAAAGTTTTTTGTATGAATAGTTTGAATAGTTTAGTTTTAAATAGCTGACAGTTCTATTTATATGAACGCAACGGAGTTTATATGAGAGGTAACGTTTATATGAGAGGTAACGTTATATTAAAGAACTGTCCAGATATTCGAGACATCGCTTTTTAACGTAAACTGTCTATTGATTGATTGATTGATTTTTTACAGTTTTTTTGCGTGTCAGATCTGCACAAATGTAAAAGGCTGTGTTTCGAAACGTAGTGCACTGTCTACCTAGACAGCATTTTTGCATCAATAGTCAAAAATTGAGTTCAATAGTTTATAAGTTTTGCCCAAAACTGCAGTCGAAGTCAGTACATTAGGTTTGGATGGATAACATCAAAGAAAATCAACGAAAAAGTGGAACCTTTTCAGTAAAGTATAATATAATATTTAACTAATAATAATAATAATAATAATAATAATTACAATATATGCTTCGACTTTTGATCACTCTACATATTGTGTTGTATTATTTTATATTATAATTAAATCATATAACTGTATATATAATTGTATACTGAATCTTTTGATCACCCTAAATATTGTGTTGTATTATTTTATATTATATTTAAATCATATAACTGTATATATAATTCTATACTGAATATGGTTTCAGAATTTTTCACCTTATTTTTTTTTAACACAGTATCATTTTTTTATTGTTTTACATTTTCAAAATCATATTTTATATATATATATATATATATATATTTTTTTTTTTTTCTTCTTCTCATTATTTCTTTGAACCTGAAAAATAAACAAAAAATTAGGAATCATGTAAAACGAATAATAATGATAAAAAAATCTATGAGAATATTATTTTCAACATGCTTAAATGGATTAAACAGTTAAAACTATGACACTTTATGTAGTCTGTTCAGCTGATCACATCAACAGGCAGTTGACATTGGGCCATCTGTTTTGTAGCTCACAAGCAGTTTGAGGATTAAATTAATTACCCTCTGACATGTCCGGTGAGCTTGGACTCAAACACTGCCTGCTTCAGTCTAGCTCCAGGGAGAAATGCTGGGTAATTTATGAAGCATTTAGGCCGATGTTGAATAGTGTAGCACCCTTTAATTCAGAAAGGCATGGACACCAGTAAAAAGGAAATGCCAAATTAGTCAACATGAAGAACACTATCAGATAATCTTCAAGTGCACATGAAAGAAAGGTTTCGTAGATGTATAAAGATCTCTAAGAATGTTTTTACTCTTTTTCTCACCTTTCCCTATAATGTTTCATTCTAAATCACAAGTTTTAGTAAAGAGAGACTCACTGGCTAAAAACACTGGTGTATCGTTTATATTTTTCATACTTGATCTATATAACTATTAGGTAATTGAAAGTACTTACTGATGCATGATATAATTTTCTTTGGGCTTTATAAAGTGAACGTGTGAAATTAGCGCGTCTATAAAGTATGGCTTTGCTTAGGAACACGATTCAAATGAGCACTGTTTGAATGGGTAAACCGCAAACCATGAACGCTTTCTTCCATACTCATGGCCTCAGATCTAGTATGCAGTTCCCATCGGTGCACAATACATCAAAAGAAACGTGACGGCTATTTACTAGCGCAAATTTGACTAAAGGTTGCACAACACAGATGAAAAGAAGAAATTGAATTCATGCACTGCACAAGTACAGTAATGCGATTTTAAGGCAGCTCTGACATGGAAGTCAAGCTTCCAAATTTCAGCTGGAGCACAGTAGCTGGACGTCTTCCGTCTCTGGCATATTATGTAACACTCTGAGACTCCTTCATGACTTCGTGATGTGGAAACTTTGGCTAACCACACAAATCTCGACATGAAGCACCATTAAAAGCAAAGTGGGGTCAGAATGTAGAAATCTAGATTGAGTTTGATAAGATTATTTCAGTTGAAGCTTGCAGCGCAGGGTCAAGCATTTATGGTGCGCACAGCTATATTGGAAAGTGAAATTCGATACTTTCAAGGTTATCCATGCGCAATTACTGAGTATTTAGAAGCGAGAGCTCGGAAGGAATTTCAGTCAGTCTCACCCTTCCAACAAGAAGTCTCTTTCTCTAGCTGTCTATCAATAGAAAAGTCGTGGAATGCTGCTTTAGCTTTGATGTGTGACAGATGCTTTGACTCATGAGTAAAATGGAAAAAATTACCTGCTTTTTTCTTTTCCTGTGAACTGCACAGAAAGAAACGCAACATGGGAATGGGAGATTTTCTGAGATCACAGCTGTGATCTATAGCCATTATGTTCTTCGACAAGCCTGTTAACCCTTTGATTGTTCCAGGAGGACTGCACTGTAAAAAAATTCCATAAAATTTATGGTAAAAAAACGGCAGCTGTGGTTGCTAGAATTTTACCGTAAAAACTATGGTAGCAACGTTTTAGGTTTTACGGTTTTAACTTAAATTTACAGTTAAATACCGTAATTTCAATAACTGATATAATGTTAATATACCAACCTATTGAAGTACTGAAATCTGTTTTGTACCCTTGTAATACACTGATAACCACCAAAGGCAGGTGGTGATGAGAAAGTCACATGATGAACCAAAGCCTATCACAAGCAGCAGTTTTTAAATATGAACATATTTAGAAGGTGCACAGTTTCATCCACACAAACACTAATCACCATCATGGTAACACACATGAAACTGAAATAATGTAATAAACTTTACTTTAACAACATTAGGTGTAAGATACAACCGTAATATACAAAACTGAAAAGAAAAAAACTTAGAAACATAGAAAGAATAAACTGTTATTTCAACAACAAAAAAACATCAAATTTGAAATGTAACGCAGGGAATTCTGGGAATGTCAATTTACGGTTATTTACTGTAAATTATAGCCTACATTCTTTTTCACTTCCAAAAACGTTATACTACCGTAAAATTACATGTAATGTCCAATACAGTTTTTCACCTTATATAGTAGGGGAACTTACCGTTAACCATTTAACAGGTTTTTACTGTAGCATTTTTACAGTCTTTTACCGTTCAATTCACAGTCATTTTTTTACAGTGTGGCTTAAAATTAATGGCTTTTGATGAAGCGTAAATGCCTACTAACAAACGGCTCAAAGATAATGAGACTGAATATTGTGATGGGCTTAATTCAGGCTGTTGATTTAGTGCAATTAGTTGTAAAAGAATAAAGTAAAAATGCATTTAATCATGGCCTGATTGGTAAGTAATTTTTCTACTGTCAAAGTAGTCTGTTTCTTGTTGCTATAAGAGCAGGACAAAAATATGAAAATGAGATATACACAATATAAAAAAGTGTTTTTTAAGTAAAATAATTACACTACTATTCAAAAGTTGCGGGTCAGTAAGATTTTTTTTAAAGAAATTAACACTTTTATTCAGCAAGGATACGTTAAATTGATCAAAAGTGATAGTAAAGGCATTTATAATGTTACGAAAGATTCTTTTTCAAATAAATGCAATAGTTCTTTCTATTCATCAAAAATCCTGAAAAAACTTCCAGAAAAATAAGAAGCAGCACAACTGTTTTCAACATTAATAATAATAAGAAATGTTTCTTGAGCAGCAAATCAGCATATTAGAATGATTTCTGAAGGATCATGTGACACTGAAGACTGGAGTAATGATGCTGAAAATTCAGCTTTGCATCACAGGAATCAATTAGATTTTAAAATATATTCAAATATAAAACAGTCATTTTTTAAAACTTGTAATTATATTTCACAATATTACTTTTTACTGTATTTTTAATGAAATAATGCGGCCATGGTGAACATAAGAGACTTCTTTCAAAAACCTTAAAAAATCCAAACATTTGAACAGTAGTGTGTGTCTGTGACAAATATGCCTGCAAGTGGTATTGATGTTTAATGGCATCAGTAACTGAAAACATCTGCATGCTG